TTTTTTTTTTTTTTTTTTTAATGCCGAGAATTGAACTCAGGATCTTGTACTGAGTTAGCCTTGCCAGGCAGGCGCTTATGCCACTGAGCTGTATCCCTGGCCCTAGTTGGTTGGTTGGGTTTTTTGTTTTGTTTGATGGAACTTTTCAGGACAGGGTCTGGCTGTGTGGTTGGGCGGGCCTCCAAACCCACAGCGATCACAGCGGCGCACCACCACGCCTGAGTTTGGGCTTGTACTTGTGATCCCCCGCCTCAGTCTCCCAAAGTGCTGGGATTATAGGCCTGTGCCCCTCTGCCCAGCTGAGGGTGACCTTTATGCTTGTCACTGTGTCACCTTTGGGAAAAGATGGAGAAGCCAACAATCAAGCCTATCCTTTCCTTCATTCTTTGAGTTCTAGCCACAGTTTTTGATCCCAAGTTGACATATGCCAGATGCCTTCGTTACTAGACCATCTAGCCTGTCGTTAAGTCTGCTTAGTAAATGGCCACGTTCTCTTCACATAACCAGACGTGAATTGTACGTTAGGCAGGCAGACCATTGTAAAAGAATCAGAATCCCCGCTGAGGCACTGTGAGGTGAATACAGCCAGCTCTCGGTTCCTCAGACGTGGAACTGGGTTCCGCTCGCCCCTTCTCTGTCTCGGGGCCTTTCCCATGTGGGTGGTCAGTGTTTCGCCCCTGGCTGTTTGGCCTTAGGTGTAACTTGTGTGTAGTGGGGAGAGAGCCCCTGCAGCCGTGGGCCCCCCCCCCACCCGGAGGAGGAGGGGCTTTCAGCATGGCAGCCGCAGGACTCGGAGACGCTCTCAGCTGCTGTCGTCATGTGTGGCTGCAGGGCTGTGCCCTCCCCACTTTAGCCCTCGATGCAGAACGGACTTGTGGCCCTGACACTTCCCGTTCAGTATGAGGGTCTGATGGACACTGAGTGCTCTGTGAGTCTTGACTAAGGACCATATATTGTGTTCCAAGCTGAGCTGGATCAGATGCTTTCAGAGTGCAGACAGAGCCATTTTGTATTTGATGTTTTAAAGTCATGTGTCAGTATGGCTTGTTTTAAAGGCGTATAAACGATGCTGGGCAAGGAGAGGGACTAGGCCCAGTGCCCAAGTACAGTAAACCTCCGTGTACGAGAACTAGACAAACAAGCCTCAGAGGGTGCTGCTGAGGGCTCTCTAGCAGTGTCCTGTACTCTGCTGCCCGGTGTGCAGTGTCACCAGTTGTCCTGTGCCTGGAAATGGCTACTGGTGAGCAGTGCTACCAGTTGGGTCTGTGCAGAAGAGTGAGTGTCCACATCCACATGTCTGTGTGGGAAGGGAAACATGCCCTAAGACTGTCCTTCGCTTTTTTTTTTTGAGACACAGTCTCTAGTGCGGGCTGGCCTTGAACTCACTATATAGCCCAGGCTGACCTTGAACTCATAGTGCTCCTGCCTCAGCCTCCCAAGTGCTGGGATTACAGGCGTGCGCTACTACACCTGGCCCTAAGACTGTTCTTTGGTCTGGTGGTTTATACGTCACACAGGTACTTGCCCTCTTCCAGGGGAAAGGATTCTCCAGTATTTTGCCCTTCCTCTTAAAACTCCCAAGTAGCATAGCATTGATCATGGGTGTGCCAGAGTTAAAGAGGTGCAGCCCCGTCCGACCTCACCGTCCGGCTGGCTCACTTTCTGTGTGAATGTCCTTGCCCCTGTCTTGTGGGGCCCTGTCGTGTAGTACTAGTCTCTGAGAACCCAAAGATGGTCTGTCGCCGGTGGTGGCACTGTGTCCAGGCCACTTTGCTGTCCCCACCCAGTAACGCAGCCAGGAAGGCGGACAAGGGAAGGAAGGCTGTGGGAGAGCGTTCAGGGCAGGAAGCAGAACAGCAGAGACTGCTCCAAGTGTGCCTGGGCCCCAGAACCAGCTAGCTCTGTGCCCCTTCTGTTGGTGTGGATTTTAAATGGTGAATGACCTCTAAATCCTCATTTTAGGAAAACAAACTTCCTGCGGGGGATCTACACCCCTACCTGTTTTATCTTGCAACACTAAATTGCTAAGTTGCCAAGGTGAGACTGGATTCTGAGATCCTCCTGCCTCAGCCTCCTGCAGGCATGCAGCACCATTCTAGCTAGGAAAACAAACTTGGATGCCTAAAAACATGTGCAAGCATGATCTTAGCTTACACAGTC